GACTGTATTTGTTTTTGCAAGTCACACCAACAACATGACAAGTCCGATAAAATCTATAGGCCAAACAAAATTAAATATTGACATTTTTACGATAACAGTACTAATGCTATATTAGATACAATGATAGAAACTCACCGTGAAAACGTATGTACCCTTCAAAATTATGTTGTTTTTTTCCTGAAAATCCAAACCATGCAAAACGAGGTCCAAGATGGCGGACTATCCATTCGTTTGTTTTCAAACTCACTTCTCCAGGGCTTGGAAGAAACTATTTTATTTTGTAGGTGTTTAGCTTATTTTCCATACGAGACATTGGAAAAGAAATATCCAGTGAATATTACAAAGTAAGCTAAATCGGATAGGTAATATTTATATTTCAGTATTTAATGCATTACTTTATCTAAACAATATCGTTCTATTCATTCCTTCTCCCTTTTTGATCCGCAACTCATCCATTAAAATTTGGTTGAACCCAAGTGGAGTTTCCCCTTGAAGCGGTAGGTTGAAAGGTCAAAAATACCGGAGAGCATGTGTTTTTGTTTCTCTACATTTCAACGTTTGACCATGCTTTCTAGAACGATTCTTCTGCTTTCCGCCTCTACTCTAGCCACAGTAATTGCTTTTTTTACGATAAAAAGATGGCGCAGAAACAAGACGGCAATTCGTTGTGAAGAGTATAACCATTTTCAAATTCCTGGTGTTCCTGCCACGGTCGCCGGTAAATTGGTTAAAAGAGACATTTCAATATCTCTTGTGAATGACGCCCATAATCTTGGGATTATTATTCAGAATCTTTACCAGGCAATTCAATCGTCAGGAATCAAGGTAATTGTTATATTTATGGCAGTAACAAATCTATATTCACGACGTTCATCTACCCACCATAGACTCCGGTCAGTCAAAATGACTATTTTGAACTCTGTGCATTAATCTGCGATTCAGCCAATGACGGGGAGAGAAATCCAGGTCAGGAGAAGCCTCATGACCTAAGACTGAGAATTTCATTCACGTCACGTATCACATGATAAGGTCAATGAGGTCAGCGGCCATATTGCCTTTTATTCACTGTTTTTTTCTGCACCGAGTGTGTATCGCAAGCAAAAAAGTATGTTCTAGTCAGCAGTTATTCTCAGCTAAGTTTTCTGAGGGACTCCATTCTGTTCTTATTAGTAACAGCAAGACGTGGTGTCTGGTAGTATAACAATTTTCTTATTAGGGGCTCCATGTCCTTTTGTACCGCGCACACAAAAACTTGGGTGACGCATACTTTTGTAGGGTCAATTTCAACTGTAATTTCGTTTCACTCATGCTTGCCTTGGTCATTTCTTAGTGTAGCTAAAAATGGCAGACAAGAAGAAAGGGAAGAACTCTGAGAAGTGCCCCTTACCTCCTGTGGTGTCATCCCAAAAGTCACCAGGACCTCCCGGGTTGGAACCCCCCATAGTAGATGTCATTTATGTTTGGAATGTGTTCAGGGTTCGAGTTTTTGCCACAAAGATGTGTGTTCAAATTGGGATGCCAAGACCTGGAACGAGTTCCAAAAGCGCATTTGTGTAGCCAAGGCTGATAGTGTTGCCCCTACTTGTGCTCGCTGCACAATCAGTTCGAGTGGCCTTAAGAGTGTTAGTGAGAGGAGTGCTAGTATGAGTGGGAAGTCCTCTCGTTCGTCTACCAGTACCTCGGGTGCTACATCCTCGCAGCCTGCTGCTGCAGGTGGAGGTTTGCCCGATCATGCCGGCAGTGGCCAGGTCATGCCCCGGAGCCTACTGTTCCCATGTGGCCTGTTGGGGGTCCCTCTGTGGATCCTTTCTCGCTAGATGTCTGGTTTGCCTCCGAGATGCGGGCTATTGTCGAGGGGTTGTCAGGACAAATTTTGTCCCTTGCAGGTCGTTTAGACAAGCTACAGGCAGAACGGGTTGCCCCCACCTCTGAGGCCGTTCTCCGGAATGACTCTATAAACCATGCTGTGGGGGTGATGCGGGAAGTCATTGGTCCTAGTGACCCGATGTTCATACCCCCCCCCCTCGATCCTGAAGCAGTCGCTCTAGATAGCATCATCACTTCCGGGATCACAGATGATGGGATTCAAGGCCTGCCTGCGCAGCTCCCCTGGTCCGACAGACTGCTGAACATGGCGGAGGGCGCACAGACGGTATTGATGGCATCTCAGTCTGAAACGGTCCAGCACGCCCTGAGAGCAGAGTTGCGACCTATTAACTTTTTGGTCCATGGAGTTTGTGGCCAACACACTGGAACACATTATGGTGCGCCTCCAGGACTCAGAAATCTCAGAGACAGAACGCACCAGCCTTCTAGACCAGGCGTTAAAGTTGTTGGCAGGACATCGCACTGCTATGTGTGATATTCTGCAGTGTCATACATGTATGGCTCTTTTGGCAGGGGCAACCTCTGTTCAGCGGGATGCACTTTTGGCAGCTTGTGTTTCCCCCAGCGAACTGAGTCACGGTGTGCGTCATCGCCTCAGTTGCGCAGACTGGACCTCCTCCACCCTCTTTGATGGTGAGATGGAGGGTGCAGTATCGGAGCTTCAGGAAGCCACCAAGCAGATGGTACGGGTGGAGTCAGCAAGCCAGTATGCTGCTGCCAAGGGCAAGCGCAAGCGTAGGAACCCAAGCTTCCGTGAAGAAAACACAGTGGCCAAATTCTACACCCACTGTCCAGCAGCCAGGAGGGAAGCGCCCCTACTCTTCTGGGTGAGGGAAGGGTAGTGGCGCACATCCCAGGAAGAAGGGACCAGGTGGTGGGTCCTCCTCTTCTTCGGCTGTTCGCCCCCTAAGTTGAGGGGGAAAGCAAGGTTTACGCCTCCGTCTGCGACAAGGGGAATGGAAAATCATTTTGCGGGAGGCAGTCTGAGCTTTTCAACTCTTACAAGCTGCGAGGGGACTCCCCTCGGCGGAGGAGAGATTTCCCTAATGTAGAACTGTTGAACCTGTGGCCACATATCCCTGTTGCACACAGATTGCGCTGGTGTATTCCAGCTTGGATGCAGCGGGTAACCAACCCCTGGACACTCCAGTTGGTAATACACTGTTACAGTATGTGCACTTTGAACGGTTTTGCATAGAGATACTGTTTTACTCTCCGTGCACGTGATTGGTTAGCCTTGCTCGATTTAAGCGATGCTTACCTGCACATACTGATGCACACAGCGAGTCACGATTCCTTCGTTTTGCCCTTTTGGGTCAAGTATTTGAATTAAGGGTGCTCCCCTTTGGGTTATGCACGGCTTCATACTTGTTCACCAGAGTGGTGAAACAGGCCGCTGGTACACATCAATCTGTACCTAGACGAGTGGTTGCTATGCAACCAAAGCAAGGGGTTAACATGGGATTTACTTCACCAATTGAGACATTGACCTCTGACATGGTAGCCATTTTTTTTCAAAGCACGTCTTCCATTTGTTATGGCCAAAGTGGAAACGAATTTAATCCGTTTTCTTTTATAATGGAATGCTGGTAAATCACATTAATCGTGAGAAATAAGTATTCCTTGTATCGCTGACTAAATATAGCTTATAAATTTTATTTATGAACAAGTCATGAAGCCAAAAACAGCAATAAAGCTTACTACACTCAGTGCAAGTGTAGATTAAACAAACGACTGCTCGACGCATCTCTGCCTGTGATGTGAGCAAGTTATTGTTCAACTCGACAAATCCTACACAGAACGAAACTGCAATGGTAATCCTTCCTGTTTATTTATCACTGTCTTCCCTTCCATTATCTTGATGTATGACTTATTCCAGAATGTCAATCGGAGAAGGTTAAAACTAAAAACACATTAGGCCGATGTCACACGTGTACATTGATTTTGAACAGCTGCGTTTTGTTTCATTAAAGTTTTTTTCTGTTGTTCTGTGTTAAAACAAAGACAATTTAAAGAGTGTCCAGTGGCCAACATCTTACATGTGTATCATAAACAAATAGAATAGTGCCAGTCGCCAACTTTATGTCCTTGTCGGAAATTCTGAGTGCCGGTCGCTAGGTACGTTTATCGCAGGATCCGTGTGCTTAGCAATAAAAGCAGTCTAGCTGAACGTCTAGTCAGTGATCCCTGTGTGTCTCTGAGAACTGATGCACATCATTGGGATGATGTCAGTTCGTAGGATAGTTCCCCATGCTGCACTGCGCAGCCGCCGGGTGCAACGCACTTTGTTGCAACAACAGTCTCACCTGCGGGAACTGGAGAGCAGAGTAACTCTCAGACCAAGGTAAGGATGCTCAGGCAGGGGTCCCCTTGAACCCACTCGACCCTGCTATGCCTCCCTTACAGGTTGGTAAGCGCACCAAATGGATGAGCAAGTCCAATGAATATGGCCCCTGCATTGGATTCAGGATTGCCATATCAATTGGCTCGAACTGAAAGCAGTAAACTTAGCACTGATACACTTTCTACCCATAGTTCTGGGCTACAGAGTCTTGCTCTGCACAGACAACACAGAGGTGGTCTCCTACATCAACAAGGCGGGATGGAGGGACCAGATCCCCATCACTATCAACTCTGGTGGAAGAAATTCTCAATTCGTGCCTGGAATTGCAATGTGGAGCTAACTGCACACCACCTTCCAGGGGTGCGGAACAGTCAAGTGGACGCCCTCTCGCGGCGACTTTGTCTCCAGAACACAGAGTGGCAGGTACCCCAATGGATAGCCTCTAGACTGTTTTGGCTGTGGGACGATCCCAAGATAGACCTTTTTGCCACACTCCAGAATGTCAAGCTACTGATGTATGCGACACTCCTGTTGACGCATTATCGATCCTGTGGGCCCACATGGACGCGTACACTTTTCCTCCCTTCCCACTGATTCACCTGTTACTGGAGAAACTTCGACAAGGCCTGGTTTCCTCCACTGTTGGAAATGTAGTAGTGCTAATGGGCATCCTGGATCTGCTGTCCCAACCAGAAGGCACAATACCAATAAGCCCAGAGGTGTACCACTTACACGCATAGAGGCTCTCAGCAGACTCGCACAGACGAAAGGTTTATCTGAGTGGGCTGCCAACGTCCTGGCCAGAGCAAATAGGGATTCCACCAACACTGCCTAACATTCCAAGTGACAGGCATACGTTGATTGGTGTAGTCAAAGGGAGATTGATTCATGCCACCCCACTGTTGGCCAGGTAGCTGATTTTTTCGTCAGTTTGCAGAGTTAGGATTGTTCTATGCAGCAATTGTTGGCTATGGGTCAGCCTTGTCACCCACCATCGAGAGTTCTTTGGAGTCAAGCCTAGCCGATTGTCCTGTTTGATGCTTTTCATAATCAGTGGACTGGACCCCAATCTAGGGAACCACCCAATTGGGATTTGTCGGTTATGTTATCGGCTCTAAATGGACAACCTTTGAACCATTGGAATCAGCATCACTGAAATATTTGATGTCTTCTAACTAGCTCTAGCCTTATTTAGGCATCATTCCGAGTTTAGGGGCCTTGTCCTTTTTGGACATGTGCAATCATTGTGGATCGAACTTTGATTGTTGACCCAGCCCGGGCGACCTCTGAACTCTCTGCGCATAGCGATAGAGCAGTCTTTGCAACAGATTTGTGAGGACAAGTGTCTCCAGTCAGCGCTCCTTGGACATTTCCAGGTCTTGCTTTCGACCTATGCCCTCATGCAAAACTGTTTGGCTTATTTGTTTTTGAAATACCCGGTACTAGTTTTCACCCAATATTTGGGTTTGGGTCTAGCATCCACAGGCAATACCAACCTCGTCACCCTACCAGCAGTATACTTTAGTATGGGGACTACACTGACAAGGTAAGACATATTTTACTAGCTAAGGGTGGTAGTCGTAGGTAAAATTTGTCCCAGGATGGGATGCCCTTTATTTTGAGTACTCGACGACCGACTCTGCCTGCAGTTCAAAACAGTCATATTGGCTGACCGAAGTCTATGGTGGGTAAATGAACATAGTGAATTTGGGCAGGATGGTTTTCAACCCGCCTATTCACCTAGTTCATACGCACCATACACTCTTTATCTTCCAAACTGCCTTCCGTAGCGATTGGCTTTAAGTCCTTGTATACAGAAAAAACAGGGGAGTGAATATACCGTATTTATCCAGCTAAAAGCCCATGCCCAACCAGACGCCCATCCCCCCACTTTTGATAAAATAACCGCCCAAGGGTGTTTTCTCTTCACCTGTAATAAAATAAAAAAACAAAAACCTATTTTTGTTTGTTGTATTAACAGTTTACTTCCTTGCAGTCTGTTGTGATTCTGATAAAAAAATTTGAAAAATAAATGTAAATTGTGTAAAATGAGGAGTGAACGCGAAATAGCTGTGATATAAATAGAGCAGCGCGTTCACCACTGTTTACGTAGTTTACATTTATTTTTTCAAGATTTTTTTATCAGAAACATAACAGCCAGCTAGTCAAAAAAATGTATATTAAATGAAAAATGGTAGTTCTTTTTTTGAAATATGTCGTGGCCCTAAAAAGGGCCATTTGGTTTGTGTTTCCTTATAGAAACGATTCAAGCAGATCTTACAGTATATAGAGAGCCGCGAAGCAAGTGTTGCACTCGTTCGGCTTTAGCGTCACTGACAATGAAACCAATGTTGCAATATTGTAGCAACCCATACCTGGGAGAGTGGTTTAAAGCATGTTGTTTTGGCTTAAAAATATTTGCGAATCCATAACTGGGGCCAGCAATTTTGCAATGTCATGCCGAAGACTGCCAACTTTTTTACCATCTTTCACCACAGCTATTGCATTTCATGGAAATTATTCTTCTGTCGTTGGAAACAAAAAATCTGCCTATTTCAAGCCCACCACGATATCCATATAACTTGCTGAATGGTAACTTTCACCATGATTGATGAACGAACGTCTAATCTGATAAAAATGCGATGTTGAATTTACCTCTATGATGAAACACGAGTAGTGATGTCATTCTTAGCCAATGGGTGAAGCGGATGCTTAAAGGTCAAAGATTATTGCCAGACGATAAACAAAAGCATCGTGCAAGTCATTTGCCGCGACCCCATTTTTCCAGTCTCTTTATTCTGATTAGACATGAATTAAAAGTGCCAAGCTACCAGACAGCGAAATCCGTGGATTAAATGTCCAAATTGTGTGGAACGACAAACTTCAAGACGAAGCTATAGGGATTTTGTTCGATCGCGACAGTGGCGCCGACTTGGAATTTCAGAGTTTTGACTTTTACGAAGATAGTCAATGAACGTACAAATAGAGATCTTAGATAGGTTTTTTTTCTAACAACTATGAATTTTACTGCGTAAATTATTATTGATCTTGTATGGCTGTTGATCCGGTATTTGTCAAAACCGGAAATAATTCATGCGTATGGGGCGGCGTGTTTGTCGACTGGGATATTCTAATTCAAATAAATCTTCACTGTCGATTTTCATTATTTCTGGTTTTAATATTTGTCACATTCTAAGCAATAAATTATTTCTTGTTACACTTCTAATGCTGCATATTGTTCATTTACTTTTGTTGCATGTTTTTATTTGCCGTTTCTTTTTGGCGATTATCCATGTTCAGGACCCTGGGCTTATACCGGGATAAATACGGCAATATGGCCGCTGACCTCATTGACCTTATCATGTGACATGAAAGGAAATCCTTAGGTCATGGAGCTTCCCCCGACCTTGATTTCTCTCTCCATCATTGGCTGAATTGCAGATTAATGCCTACAGTTCAAAATAGTCATTTTGACTGACCGAAGTCTATGGTGGGTAGGCGGGTTGAAAACACTGCTGCCTAATTTTTTGCTCCATGGCATAATTGAACAATTAATTTTTATATTTTCATATATATTTTTAAAACCTTTGACAAATATGGCGGTAACTGTAACATCAAGGATCACGTTGAAATTCTGTTAAAAACTCTATTTTCGCTTGGAATTAACTTTCACTATTTTCGCTGAAAGGAATGATTCAGTGAAAATAAAATCCAGTGAATATACCTTTATCCTATATTTTACATTCAACTTG